ATGAGCTCGGTTTGCCTGTGTCTCATGCTTTAGTGCAAACACTGCAACACACAGCAGCAGAGAGGCGGCCAACGCTGTGGCACCTCACGTGCAATCGCAAGGCGCATCTTGAACTCACCCACTTGAGCAATAAAAGCACAAAAATCCCCGAGCACCCCCCCTTTTTTTGTTGTTGTCAGTAGCCGTTAATGTGCGGGATGATGATGATGCAGTGAAGCTGTCACTAAATGCACCTCAAGGTGAGCATCACCTTACTTAAGACAGAGCGTGAGAAGTGTTGCAGGAGACCTGAGGAGAAAAAGTTAGTGGGAAAGGGCAACTGCCACTTCACATGAGCGTATTAAACAGAGACTGAATGAGATCGCAGCGCTGATAGGCCAGGTGGAGTGGATCACAGGTGAGAGGTCAAAGAAAATAAGAAATATGTCTCCTAAGTAAGGCAGAAGTTAACAGTAATAAAACCTACAGTTGTGCAGCAGGGGCTTTCCCAGTTGAGTGCATTTTGGCTGTGAGAGAAGCTTCTTCTTGCATGCATGGAGGAAGAAAAATGCTTCTACTATGTGAAAGTGGCAGTAAAGCAGTGAGGCTGCAGCAAAATAACTTGAAAAACTTCCAGCACAAATTGGTGAAATGAAGGTCAGCAGGAGATGATGGAGGAGATCAATCGTGTCTTTTTTTTTTTTTTTTACTCACTGTGAAATTTGGGACTCCCTCTGTGATCACTGGCAGGGAGGTCTGCGAACTGCACCCGGTGTCCCGACATGTTCCGATATCCACCTTCCTCAGGTCACACGACACACACACACACACAATAGAACCCCAGCTCTTCTCCGGGCTGTTTCCAAAGTATCCCGGTAACTTCCGAGCCACTGGGGGGGTAGGAAAGAGAGGGAGGTTGGACGCGATGGTCCGTTAATGTTGCCGGGGAATCTTCAGACTCCACACCGGAGGAGGAAGAGGAGGAGGAGGAGGAGGAAGAGGAGGAGGAGGAGGACTCTGTGTGCGCTGACTGTGTGCCAGTACTGCGGTGGAGCAGCGGTCCACTCTCACCTGCCCTCCGCTCCGTGATCCACGACCTTTTTACGCGCCACACCAGAAACACTTGGTGCGCGTAAGAGTCTCCTCCCGCATTCCAAAAAAAAAAAAAAAAAAGATAAAACTTTTTTCCCCTTTAAATGTCTGCAGCGTTACATCATCACAGTAAAGCTTTCGGGGAAAAAATATTCATCATAAGCCCATCATAAAGTTGAAGCAGGACGCAGCGAATATACAGATGTTACGTGAACGCATCCTAATATTTACGCTCTTTTACATGTTTGTGCTGAAACTTAATTTGTGAGTCTAATAGATTATTTTTAATCATCTAAAACTTTCAACTTCCATTTCCAATCCCATAATCCGGAGATATTTTGCTTTCTGACAGCCTGATTCGCTGCAGAAGGAGCGATAATAATCACACTTCATAGGTGGTTTAGTTTGGAAAAAGTGATACCTTCAGGCCACTAACTTTGTCTGAGCATATGGGGGCCTGCAATGCCACCTAATGGAAGGAAAGTGTAGCATTTATGAGCAGGCTGGCAGTCTGCATGAAACCAGAAAACAGGGGGTGGACAAAATACTGTGAACAATGTTTTGCTGTCTGGTGAAAATTACAGTTTCAGAAATGGCAAATGCAGAACAGAAGTCAGAGCTGGATCAGGTCTAGGGGCCAGATGTGTGCCAACGCAAACTCATTTGGAGTTATGTGCTTTTGAATTTGCGTGGGAATTTGGATTCTGGTTTTCAGCGAGGATCAAATCCAGTTTTAGAGCAACAGAATTTAGTTTCATACTGTTGCATCCAGTTTCAAGATTACTTCTAATAAATCTTAATTCAAATAATATGATTGAAACTCAAATTTTGAGTTCAGTTATTCAAGTTGAACATGACAAAGTCAAACATAAACCATTCCTCAGTGACAAGGTGTCAAAAAAGAAGCTCTTAGTAACCTGGAAAACTACTCTCAGACAAATAATGGTTCTTAAATCGCTCTTCAAACACCATCACCAGCTTTATTTAGTGAAATGTTCTTCACATACTGTGTGTGGTTCATTAAAGTCATAAAGGTTCAACTGATAATTGTTTTTATCACTGGTAAATGCACAATACATTTAACTTCAGTTTTCACTGTGACAGTTCTATATTATCCTCTTCTAAATAATGTATGTATTTCATCTAATACAGTAGTTTTAATGCACATGTTTATGTCTGGCATCTTGTAATATGTTGTTCTGTCTGACCAACAGTCCAGAACCCAATAAATTACATGTATTATAATGAAAGACAGAGAAATGCTGCAAATTCCTACATTTGCTTTTTATTTTTGGCATAAAAGTTGGCAAAAGTGATTATCATGTCATATCATCAAAATGGTTCCTTAAAGAATCTATTTTAGCTAAAGTTCTTTATAGCAATGTTTCCTGTGCCTAAAAGAGACATTTTTGTGTGTTTTTGAAGCACCTTTGGGGGTTCTTTAATGAACCTCCTGCTACAAGGTTGTAAAAATGGTTCCTCCATGGCATCACTGCAAAGAACCATGTTTGGTTCCAGTTAGCACCTTTATTTTTCTGAGTGTCGGCCTACTGCTGGTGACTTCTTATGCAATTCTCTTTGATTCTTGTTTATCCTAAGAGAGAGAATTTGCTCCCTCATTTTTTTTTCTGTCCTTAGGCTACATTTTATAACACAGATGAGTTTTGGGCCAAAAATGTCTTAATGATCCATCCATCCATTATCTATACACCGCTTAATCCTCACTAAGGTCGCGGGGGGGCTGGAGTCTATCCCAGCTGACTCAGGGTGAAGGCAGGGGACACCCTGGACAGGTCGCCAGTCTATCACAGGGCTACACTTAGAGACAGACAACCAAGCACACTCACATTCACACCTACGGACAATTTAGAATCAGCAATTAACCTCAACATGTTTTTGGACTGTGTGGGAGGAAGCTGGAGAACCCGGAGAGAACCCACGCTGCACGGGGAGAACATGCAAACTCCACGCAGAAAGATCCCAGGTGTCCTCTGCCCTAATAATTACTAAACAAAACAAGTTTATGAGTTGTTGTTTTTTGTGTGATATATTGTCTTGGCCCAATTCTGAACATGATAACTTTTAGATAGATTTTCTAAATGTTCTGTATTTATTTGACTCTCCATCATTTATTACAAAATGCAGCAACTTTTCCTCCTGAGGTCCACAGAAGTAAACATCAAAACTGTAGCTTACAGCACATCATAGGACAAAAAAGTCAATAATGTAATCAAATCCAAGGCAGAAGAAAAAGACAAGAAATAAATCATATTAAAACCAGTAATAATCACATAAACTATGACTACAAGTACTTACACTTTGTCTTGAATTCAAACTGGACTTAAATACAGTATAAATACTGAAAGAAGGTTCTGGTTTGTGCTATTTTGGGTTTCTTGAAACTCTTCGTTTTCAAAAAACTACCTAATTTCTTCATTGTGTAATGTGAGAGGGCAACCCATTCCATATTTCAATCCCTTTGTGACAAACAGTGCATTGTCTTGTGTTACTTTTTGAGATGCAAAGTGAAAAACAATCCTTTGATGCATGTCTGGTACTAAAGCCCAGAACATGTGGGATCTAAGACAAAGTAACACTTCTTTAAAACACAGCAGGGAAACAACAATGTCCCGTTCCTCGCCAGTGGCCGAATAAGCTTGTGTGCATTCTCATGGAGCGAGTGGTGCAGCTCTAATCTGGAATAATTGTCGTTTTTATGTGAAGCACATGACCACACTACGGGACAGCGATCCAAATGAATAAAGAACTAATGTTTGAACAATTTGAGGAATGCATTGTTTGCAGCGGAAAACTTTGGCACATCTCCTGATGTCTGCCAGACTTTTAACCATGTTAGGACACTCTTTTTAAAATCTGCTCCCACCACTTCAATCTGGTGTTCCAATGTCACTCCAAGAATTTTGATTTCCTCAATTTGGTCAACAGGCAGTCTGTTTGCAGACAAGTTTAACCGCCGCTGGTATTTAAGTGCACGGTTGGATCCAAACACAACATGAACCAACTCGCAAAACAGATTTTTGTTTTACTTATTCATTCCCAAACAGCACCACAATAACATACACATTATTTTCTATTGAGATAAATAACTGTTAATCCAGCGTGTACCTACTAGTAATTTATGATTCAGTATCTAAAAGGTGAATTAAAATGTAGCAACACTGCTGCTGATGATTTATCATGTTTCATTTGTGTTAATGCTGTTGTGCTATTTTACAGTTTTCTCACAGTACAGTTTCCTCAGTACAAGGAGAAAGAAGAAAACCTGTACACTGTGCAGTATGGTATGGAGGAAATCAAGCAGAATAAATCCACCATTTACAGTCACAATGCACTTTTTTTGGCTGAACTTCACCAGTTCCTTTCAACTCACTTTAGCTTTGACACAAACAAGTCCCCCGAGCTCTGTGTACCGAGACCATGGTCACTTAATGCACCGAGTTCTGCAGTCCGACCTGAACGACAAGCTGCAGGGTCGACGCATGTATAAAAAAAAAACTCCAAACATCGCTTTTCACTTTGGGACACCAGCGAGTGGAGGACGAGAGCACATCACTTTATCTGGACGGCCATGAAGGAATTTAACAGATGGACTCCACTAGAGCCTTGCACAATAAAATGACGTATGTGACCTTATCGCTGTAGAAACGAAGAGTTCATTTGCAAAAACAGATCAGTCCATTTTTGTAGATTGTCAGAAAACTTATATTTTTGTTGTTTGCTTGAGATAATATCAATTAAACTGAAGTAGATTTGACTCAGTAGAAATGACAAAAATAGATCATTTAAGTTTGATATTGTCTCCGGTAGATGATGGAAAAGTGGGTTTTCTGAAGGTTTGTGAAGATGGAGTTATCTGTTTTTGCAAATCCGGCAATGAGAATGTGAGTTAAATATGAAGTCGTTGCAAGTCAGGATTCTTTAGTATTTTATTTTGAAATATTTTGTTAAATCACTAAAAAAAAAAAACAGGAATATTTGAGAAAGAGACAAATCAAACTCTCTGAACTAATCTGATAGGATTGTGCAAAAGAGAGAATCTATACAGATATTAAACAACGAAGCTATGAGGGGGGAAAAAATGCAGCCCAGGTCTCCCTGTATTCGAAAATATTATATTTGGCAATTGCCAAAGTACAGGCATGATAGAAAAATAACTGCCAAGAAAAGGCAAATAAATACTGTACACTCCAAAAGCACTTTTATAGCCGCATCTGAACAGCATCAAAGTATTTCACTCATGTCAACATAACCCAAACTATCGAGAAGAACAGCCTCACACACTTTCAAACACTTTCAGAGACATCTAGCGCTAATCTGGAAATGCTGGCAGATACAAAAACCAAAGTATGTGCACTGCACTTCTTTTCACTCTGGATATAAATCTTATAAAAAATAATTTCAAGCATGTAGAAACCGAGCAGAGACGACAGTTCTGCAGTCTTCTTTAACAGTGTACAGCCATTACATGTCAGTATGTCTTTCACAAAGAACCGTTCTGTTCAATGTACATTTTGGATAATGAGGCTGCCATCGACTTTGCCAGCTCCTCGTCTCGTTTCCTCTGCATGTGTGAGTTCCGGCACCAGTCCTCATACTCCGGGTTGGGGAGACATCGGTCCAGGAGGACGTCGTAGTGACCGTTGCTGAGCCAACTCAGCCAGATGGCCGGCTTGGAGGCGTCCTCCTCCCCGAGATAGTGCACCATGGTGGAGACGGTGGGACTCTCCGAGCTGCCCCCCGTCGTGAGGTGGATGTTGACGTTCAGCATCTGGCTCATGGCGAGCAGCTCGGGGTATCCGGCCCAGGCGCCGTCCTGCGCCGCGTTGATCAGGAACTCGCCCACGTCCCCTTCGATGATGGGGTTGAACTCGTCCAGGTGGTCGGCGATGTGGTGCACCGTCTGCTCCCTCAGCTCCCCGTGTCTCGCCTGGTCCCCGTACGTGGCCTTGCACACGGCTCTGTACAGACAGTTGCCATCTGGAATGACGTGGTACCTGTATTTGAGCCTCTCCTGGAGGTACTTGTTCTGCTTCTCCACCTCGGCCAGGTAGCGGGCCACTTTGTCGTTGGTTTCCTCTTTCTCCTGGCAGGTCTGAGGAACAGACTCCTGCAGAACGCTGAGCTCAAACCCCCGTCTCTCCTCTGATTCTGGAGCAGCTTCACCACCGTTTATTTCACTCAAGTCCTCCTTTGTGGGGTCTTCAGGCTGAGCTGCCCTGAGGGGAACCGGCTCCTCTTCAGGCATTGAAGCCCATCCGTTGCTTCTGAAGGTGGCATCAGTCAGTGAATCTGCATCATCCTCACCTGAATCTCCCACCACCCTCTCGTATCCTTCTATCCTGGGGGCAACAGTGATCCTGTTGAAGACGTGTTCAGGGAAAAGTTCCTCAGTCCCATTCCTCAGATGATCTATGAGATCCACCAACACATCAGAGTCAGCCTCCCCATTGTGTGGCCGAGGAGAGGGCGGCTTGGACTCCCTCATGATGTGGACAGGCACAGACCTCTCCACTCCATCAGGTCTGCGGATTAATATCTCAGCGGTGGACGTGAAGTAAACTGGCCTCAGGGATGGAGCCTCGTAACAAGAAAAGGCAGGCATGTTTGCGGAAGCCTCTGGATCGCCGTTGAGCGCCGGAGCTGTGTCTGCTGGAGTAAACCTCGGCCTGTCAGCCTCGCAGGAACTTTGCGCTGCGCCGTTCAAGCGCTCGGACGCGGTCGACAAAGTTATTGTAACTTTGCGAGACGACCTCGGGTAGTGTGTCAGCACACTGTTGTACAGCTGCATTTTGAAAGAGTCCTTTATACCGATCGCCGCAGCCGCGCTGTTACGGAAAGATGACAACAACGGCTAAAAATACGCTCCATGTCATCGACAACAGTAAAGTTGTAGGCACCGTTTCCATGGACCGGAGTCCTGTCGGCACCGACACCAGCCTCCGTCCACTTTAGCCTTCTTGCGTCATTTGCAGTCGGGGTGCCTCCCTAATTTTAGACTTCAAACTGTAACCAGAGCCAGCCACAGCTACAACAGCGTCAAGCCGCACAGAGGCCGACACACAGGGCCTCCGCTGGAGACACACAAAAATAAAACCCTCAGTTTATACAAGGATCCATCTTCGTCTTTGATTGTATCGCAACAATGAATTAAAGTGACTTTTTTGACTGTTTTTTTCAATTTTACATTGAAAAGTGAAAAGTAAACCTCTACAAAGTAATGTAAGTTATGTATTGCCTAAAATGTAAAATAAATAAATAACTTGTGTACCACTTTTTAAAAACATTTTTTTAACCAGTAATGTACAAATAAAAAATGTTATTTTAGTTTCCTGTTTAGGTTATTTACACATATTAACTAGTAAAACCAAAAATAAAAAATAAAAATAAAAATTGCTTTACATGCCATCTATAAAATAAAGGCCAAAACTGTAAATAATGTTCACGCTAAAAATCTGTACTTTTATAAATTAATTCCTTTCTAAAGTTTTACTGTAAAATTACACTATTATTATTAATATTGTTGTTGTTGTTGTTGTTGTATTTAAATTAACAAAAACATTATTTTATAGATATTTGTGCTTATTGGTCAGAAAAATAATATATATTAAGAATTTGAAAATGTTAAATAACTTTTTTTAACTGTTATTTTCACAGACTTTCTCGGTTTTGTTAAATTGCATTTAATAACTTGTACAATCACAGAATAAAGTATTCATCTCCTCGTGATATTAAATATATGAACTTTAATAAATAGTATTTCTATTCTTTTACAGTGTTTGACTGTAAAACATACCGTTCTAAATCAGCAAAGGTTCTATTTTACAGATATTTGCTGATATTTGTAAGAACACAAAAGTGATTAATAAATGGTGCGTATTTTTAAACTGATATTTTACTTCTTTTTTGAATTATTTTTTATAAAAATACAGAGAACATCTAATAAAATTACAGAAAAGAAATATAAATTTACACGTGGATTGCACAAAACAATGACGTCAACAGACATTACCGTAAAACTGTTTTACTGAATTTACATCCACTAGTTGTCAGTGTTTTCACAGTTAGTTTTTTTTACAGCATGCTCCAAACAAACATTGAATGACCTAATTAAAATCAGTTACCTAACATGGCTAAATGAGCTGTGATCTTTGGACGTTATGAAACCAAGTGGTTACTGTTGGTCTGCGCTCAACTCCAGACCAATAAAGTGGCAATAAAACAAACGAGCACAAAGTTCCTATTCAGTGTAATTAAACGTCTTCCCCAGCAATGCGTCAAAACATTATAAATTACTCTATTGTGTTTTTATCAGATAAATGAATCTACTCTATTTAACAATAGTTTTATTTTTTTAAAAGGAAAACTTCCTTTGAGTTGTGTAGCTGTTGCTGAGCGGCAGCAGCTTGACGCAGCTCTTCACTGTCAGTCCTGACTGAAGCAGTGAATCAGTGTGTGTTGAAAAATGTGAAGGATTTGATGCGTCACCGTCCACTTTGTTGAGTGATAACATGTGAAACAGTAGCGTGTCCTGGTAGTCAAATGATCCAGGCTGTTCTTCAGGTCAAACGCTTTATGAATTTCTATAAAAAGGGTTGTGTAACTCAAGTTATTTCCAATTTAAACATATAAGATTAGTCACTAACAAGCCCAAGTGGACAATAGTACTATCTAGATCTGGAAAGTATTCAACAAAATCTGTCATTTTAGAGAATTTTTGCTTTTTATTTTACAGATTTTTACATATCTTTAAAAGCAGTAAATGAAATGACAAAAATTGATGGTGAATTTACACGTCTTATGTAAGATAACATTAACAACCTGTCCTGTAATGGATTTTCATATGCATACATATGAAAGGCAGTTAAAAGATATTTACAAAGTCACCATATTTGTGCAAATGTTTTCTATTATTTAAAAGATTAGGCTGTAAAATTCAAGTTTAATGCGCATGTAAACATCCTATTGAAGGCCATATCGATACACGTGATCTCATGTCAACCTAAGGCTAGAAAATGTAATTTGATTACCAAAAATGACCTCATTTCAATGAGATCTGAGTTGTTTTAGTTGTTCTACTGTGTTTTTCGGCGCCCAAGCTTTGGGAATGTTACAGTTTTTTGTTTGTTTGGGGTTTTACAGTGGACATTTAACAAGAGGCTATTTTACGTCTTCTCAAAGCTCACAAAATGTATTGATCACATGTAAAAATAGGTAAAATGACAAATTAACAGATATTGTTTTGAATTTAGTGAAATGAATGGTGAAAGGAATTAGCTCCCATTCGTATGTCAGGACGGCAGCTAAATAATAAAGTAAACTAATACTACAAACGTTATAATTACAATTAACAACAACACATATTGTTAAAATTACTTTGAAATTTGAACCCAATATTTGATGGGAGTGATTCCGACTGAGTGGCGGTAGCAGGTTCTGGCAGGACAAACTGCTCACATGTCTATTTTTAACACTTTGTCTGTCTGTTTGAACTTGTCTACTGTGAAACACAGTCACACTACTTGTGTTTGCTGTGAACGCTGGTGTTTAATATAGACATTACCCAGTGGAGTCAGTTACAGATGAAGCTGTAAAGACATTTACAAGAAAAATCCGGGAATTATATACTAATTTTAAAACAGACTATTTGTAGTGGGAGACCTTTTGCATTTCTACATGTTTGTTACCTGGAATGAAATATCAAGGGTGGAATGTAACTAAGTAACAATGTAACTAATTTTAACTACTTGTAATATTTTAGATTTTTACACTAGAACTTTAGACTGACAGATTCAGTTACAAAAGTTAGAATTTTTTGCCCACAAAACATAAAGCAACAACAACCACAGCTTGTAAAATAGGTTTTGTTATGAATTAAACTACTCTACAGTTCATACAACTGCCGCCGAAACAATTTGTTGATCAGGATTTTTTTTTCCTAAAATAATATTAGCAAGTATTTTTGCCAATTTGTCATGTAAAAACCTTCCATGTCTCCATCTTTATTCATCTGATTTACTGCTTTTCTATTTTAATTATTTTAATAATTTTAATGTTTAAAAAAATCTAAAAGAAAATGCATATTTTAATAATTTGACCTTTTTAAAAAAATAATTATATTAAGGTTTCAGTGGCTGATTAAACATAATAAGCGAGATCAAGAAGAAGTTGTGACGACATTTCTCTCTATTATCAGATTTTTTGCAAACTAAACCATCAAATAAATTACTAGAGACAATAATTAAAACAGTAGTTTACAATGTGTTCCACTGAAACCTACTACAACAGTAAAACCCTACTGTTTTTTTTTTAAATAAAATAATAATAATCTAATACTGTATCATGGATTGTATTTATATTTCTAATACTTCGAGCTCAATTTCCGAATTTTACTGACTTTAAATTGAAGGTTTTATTTGTAACAGAGTATTTTTACAGAGTCATACCAGTGCTTTTATTTTAGAGGAATTCTCCAACTGTAGAATGTTATTAAAATGAGGCATTTGTTGATGTGTCTTATAAATTATTTTCCAATTTATCAAATACATTTTATTTCCTCTGAGGAAATGCTTATTTAAAAAGTAGATAAAACATTGTTATTTCCTGTACTTCTCTAATCAAACTCTATTCCCCCCCTTTTTTTTGTCTTCCTTATGTTTGGCACCACAACAACCAGTAGAGGGAATCCGAGCACCTTCACGTTTGACGTGTGCTGCGTTCAGGTGCACAGTACCGCATGCGCGCACACGGAGGCGACATTTAGCTTCACTTGAGGGGGGAAAGAACCGAACGCCTCGTCTGGAACAAATGCATGCAAAGAGACGATGCTACAGCAGCTGTCGCAAGGTTGTGCACCGCATACAAATGAAGGCATTGATCGCTTCCTTCAGCCCCTACACTGTTGTCTTTAGTAACCTGGACCGCTGCTCTAACCTCCAGCTGGCGCAAGGTTGGATCAATAACCTCGCTGCTTCTGCTGCGTTCGCGTTTATACTGTATATTAAGACGTTTCCTCATTCCTGAGCACTTTGGGTAATATTTCAGCTTGAAATGACACCAGTGGAAAAATTCAGCTTCAACAGAAGGAAAAAAAAAAAACATGGGAGGAAGGAGGGGGGGTTTACAGTAGTAAATTACGCAGGGGGCTGGCTGGCTCGTGTGATTGTAAAAATAATGTAATTATCTCAGATTGTGGTTGTGCATTTATCTTTAAACACACAAAGAAGAAGTGCAACACAGATAATTTTGCAATAAGTGAGATGAAAACCGCAGATAAGAGGAAACCGCGCACCCAGTCAGAGGCATCCTTTGCAATAATGTGATTTTTCATTGTGTTTGTGTAGGTGTTACCACGAGGTCCGCAGTGCTCTCCAACAGCAGCAGCAGCCTGTTGTTGTTGTTATTGTTGTTGTCATTCTGGCCGCGCGCTTCGATCACCAACGCTTTTCTATGCGCCATAGTTTAATAAACAAGGTGCTAATGCGCATTTTTTTTTTGACTTTGTTTTGAGGGAAGGTGGAGGAGGAGGAGGGTCTGCAGCGGTTAAAGCTTAGCCAGACTGTATCCATGTCAGTGGAACAAGCCATGCTGATGTCAGAGATTTCTCCTCCGCTCTCCACGGTGGGAGGATCTCTGTGCGTTGAGTCACGCAGCTGTCAAAGATAGCTGTCACCCAGTTTCAGGATCAAACACACAGTCAATGAGAAAAGGGGCTTTGAGCCGAAGGGACGCAGAGATCTCAGGTAACCCTCGAGTCTCCGAACGAGGAGAGGAGACGCATATACGCGCGAAAAGAAGAAGAAGGAGAAGGAGACGGAGGAGGAAGAAAAAAAATAACAACAACAAGAGTTTGGATGATTTTTTTCCCTCGGATATTCGGATACACGCTGGGGATATCTGGAGAAGATTTTCTGGTGCGCTTGACGAGGAATAAAGTGGGACGTTTTCGCACGGAGATGAAGACGAAAAAGGGTAAGGAGATTTTTTTTTTAAATGAAGTTTAATTAGACTAAAAAAAAATTAAAAAGC